CCACCTCCTTGCCAACTCTGGCCAACTGTAGCGCTCCTGCTGCCGTTGACCAGGCGGCCGATTCGAGTGGTCTCTCCTCACGCCTCTCCATGATTAGGGCTCCCTCTTCTATTTGGTCTCTGCCTGAACCCGCCGGTCCCTTCATTGAGGAGTCACTCCTGCCAAGGCTCGGGGCCCCACCCCCAAGATTCCCCTTTTCCAGGACTGCAGCCACTGCAGCCAACGCATCACCCTCACAGACGAAGATGACGAGCCACCGAGTAAACAATCGTAGTTGTGAGCGCGTAGGTCAAGCCAAGGTTGCATCCGAGGGCTCCCGAAACGGCGGTAGGCTTCTCATCTGTTAATTTCCTTTTCCTCTTTGTATCAGCGTACTGACTTAGGCAGACGCGAATTCTGACTCATCGTTTTTTTCCTAGTTGCTCTCCCGGGGAACATGCCACATCAACCCTCTCATACATCGACGACAATTTTGTCTCACAAGTATTTGATAATGCCCATTAAACAGCGTAGATGCCACCACTACTGAGTCTAATTCCTCAATTTAGGGACAAAAACTAGATAGAACTTCTGGTATTTAAAATGTGTCACTCGTGCATCACCTCGAAAAAAGCGATTATCACTAAAAGAGATGCTCCCGCGACCTGATATTTCTAGCAACGAATTCAGTTTACTCGAGTATTGTCAGTTTGCGTATCAATTAGTTGGTAGTAAACTTTACTTCTAAAACGTACATAGACAGGGCAGTCATAGAGAAAATATGAAACTGTGGTGGATGAAATTTGAAGCCCTTGAATACAAAGGAGTTAAAAGTACCTGCTGCAATTTGACATTATTATCTATAGTATATGCTTTTACCAAAAACAATTATATCGTTGTCAGTTATATCTCGTTGGCTGCCCTCAGTAGACTTGCATGACTAACGTCGAGTAAAATGAACACGATAAACGTATTTGAGAGCGACATTTGTAAAAGCTAATTCGGTCAAATGAATTATTCACGTCTACCAAAAACAGCAATTAATTGAGCGAGGCTGGTAGTCATCTCGTGGACTATAAATTGTTTGCTAAGGAAATCCTGCTTAGACAGTCGGCTTACTGTATCCAAGTTGGTGGATTCCATACACTGGAGTAGGTTAGGTGGGGAACTTAACCTCAAATATGAATAACCTCATGGTTCCTGATGGGATTTCGTAGTTCAGGTGGTAAAGCGTTGACTGTTCTCTAGTCTTGCCCTTGCTGTCCTGCGTTCGAATCCCACCAAGGCTGCCGGGATTTTCACATGCTAGTTAATGGACTTATTCCAAACCTGCCAAAAACACCAATTAAAAGCTGAAACATACAGAGTGGTGAACATACAGTGCGGACTGAAACTCATGCAAAGGCCGAAATTTGTGAAAGATTGATAGTCACTCACAAGCCGACAATAACGCATGTACAAACATTTCGAGGTTTTTCGAAACTTCAAGCGAATTTAGAACTTCAAGGAAATATAAAAAGTACTCTTTAGAAATATCGTCTATTTTAAAGAGCGTCAAGTTCCGAAAATATGAAAAATAGCTACAAATTTGGCCATAGCTATATATAATCGTCAGATGACGTCGTAAAAAGAAATTTCCTTTCGTCAGTTTTCCTTATAGATATTTCAGGTATTGGATTTCAATTAGTTCAGAAGAAGAAGAAGAAGAAGAAGAAGAAGAAGCGATCACTGGAAAAAAAGTTTTATTGTCGTGACGTTTCGGATTCCGTCGGGAATCCTTAGTCATAGATAATCAAAGAAAAGTCTGAGACATTACGGGTAGTTTCAGATTGTCCTTTAATTTACGGTCAAGGTTCCATGATTTTTCGGTTTTTTCACGTTTTTATTCCATAATTTTAGATTATTTTCGACGTGTATATCAAAAACTTTAAAAAAAGATGCTTCTTAAATGCATTTACCAAAAACGTGACTTTTGGATATTACCTCTTAGAAAGATGGCCATTTGGGTCATATTTATGAATACCCCGAAACACCTAATCACAGTGTCGAAAAGAAGAACAGTGTATTTCTGTCATCATCCCGTTTGGCATATCCAAGACCATAATAATTGTTTCACGTGTTAAATCCGTACGAGCAACGCTAAGAATACGCAGTCTGATCATTTCTTTATCGGTCTTTTTCAGGCCATTATTCGTTACTGAGTTCTAAATTTAACTGTAAAGGGTATTCTTAAAGTTAATCACGCATCATTTTTAAACCTCAGCTTCCCAACTTTTTGTTTCATTTGCCCCAAGAAACCACAGAAGTTCCGATGTCTGTTGTTTTCATTTTTTTATCTGACATACTATATCCAGTGATATTCAGGCATTTTCCCCACTCTGCAGTATTTTTACGGTCTTTATCTATTCCGCTCCCTGGTTTACTGATTGCTGTCTCCTTTCCACACCTTATAGCAAGTAACTACAGTTATCGCAGTTTTGGGCTACTTGAGATAAGCTATGTACTTATGTACATTTTAAGCTTTGATACCCTAACAGGTCTTTTGTGTCTGTGGTATTTTATCAGTCCTGGGGACAGCAGCCTTGGTTCAACTTAAAGTAGAGCGCGATCATGTCTACGGTCGTTCGCAGGAGCCTTCATTTTCCCAAATAAATCTAGTGATATGCACGCCAGGAGTGTCTTCTGAGAAGCGAGGGGAATAGCTTTGGACATCAATTTATGATGGGATTCTGACACCTGAATCTTGCTTACAGCTTAGTCAGTTGCCTTTTTATCAAAGATGGGAATGCGATTTGCTCTAACCTGTAAATACCAACAAGCTTTAAAGTTTCTCTATGGGGAAAGACCATTTGGTGGTCAGGCAAGGCTTTGAAGTTCAAAAGCATTCAAGGAATCCTACTGGCTCTCAAAGCTCCTTTCTCCGTTTCAACACCCCGAACTGTTCCCGTGTACAGTTGATCCCGCCGATTCGCGGTTCAGTATAGTATATGTATATAGAGATAACTTCCTTCGTGTTCGC